CGTGCGCGACAGCGGTGACTGCCGAACGGCTCGCGGCTCAGGCCGGCCTTCGACACTCAAAAAGTGTGTGTGTGTGTGTGTTGTCTGTTCGTGTGCGTGTGTGTGTGTGTGTGTGTGTGTGTGTGTGTGTGTGTAAGTGTGTGTGTGTGTGTGTGTGTGTGTGTGTGTGTGTGTGCGTGTGTGTCTGTGTGCGCGCAATTCGCCGAGCGCGTTCCACTACTCGCAAAGTGCCTACTCGCAAATGCCCGAAACACACATGTCTGCATTGATGTGATTTATCGTATATCCTCCGCGGCGGATCCAGGCCATCTGCGAGCAGTTACTTTGCGAGTAGTGGAACGCGCTCGTCGAGTAATGGAGGATGATTATTCAAGTAAGTCCAGGGGTCGTGTTCACGCGACGGCGCCTGGAGTGATTTTTAGAAAATCCATTGGGCCGGGAAGCTTTTTTTTATTTAATCGCTTCTCTCATTCCGCCGGCCCTGGAGCCCTCTTTAGGGCCTCTTGGGGGCCTCTTGGGGAGGGGGATTTTCGTCTTTCCCCCACTTCCCATATTTTCTTATATTTTCCTGGGAATCGGCGATTGGTGTGTCTGTGTGTTTTTGAGGGGAACAAAAAGTGACATAAACATAACAAAACTCGGAGGTCCGCGCGGATTTCTCGGATCGGCGCTGGACCCCCCTCCCTGGCGCGCGGAGCGCGCCAGGGGCGGCGCCGCGCCGGGGGGCCCCAGCGCCGATCCGAGAAATCCGCGCGGACCTCCGAGTTTTTCTGTTTATGTCACTTCTTTTTCCCTTACAAAACACGCAGACACAATTAATCGTCGATTCCTAGGAAAATATGGGAAAATATGGGAAGTGGGGGAACGACGAGAATCCAAGCAATAGGGACAAATACGGGGAATCCTGCTATGTGTGTACTTATTTGTGTGTCCTTGGGCCCCTTCATAGTAGGTCGACTCTGCCAAATCAAGGGTACCCTTGTGTCCTGTGTCTCGAGACCCATGCCTTCAACATTCCTGTGGCATTTTGGCCCTCGGAAGGGTCTTGTGACCTCCCGCGTGTCCTGTCCAACCAAGGCCGACTGAAGGAGGAAGGGGTAAAAGAGAAAGGAGGGGAGCCAAAAGCAGCGGGGTGCAGTTACAACGACGATCGGACAGTACCTGTAACTATCCAGCTGTATGGTAGAGATAGGGAGGTGGAGCTGAAGATGGGGATGGATGATGTAAGGAGGTGGTGTTGAATATTAGATGTGTTATAATTGATGTTGTCGTCGAACCCGATCGGTAAATCCCCGTATGCGCATTTCATTTCTTGGCACGTTCTTCACACTGTGAGTCACTGAATGCTAGAGATCACGACCAGTTGCGGCGGTTTTGTCTGCAGTTCCGGCCGCGGTGGTGGTCCCGTTTTTTTTGTTAGCACAAATTCGAGGTGTAAGCACATACATATATATATATATGTAATATGTATATATTGTAATTGTTTTCTTCGATTGAAGCATCAGTTTTGCGAAGAAGCTATAGTTTAAGTGTTCCACCCTGTTGTTTATTAATCGTCATCCTGCATTACCCGTGTGTGTGGGTGTTTGTCTGTGCTGCGCTTGGGTGTTTGTTTTGCAGTGGCAGTCTTCCGGCTCCTAGCTGTCTGACTCCGCTACGACGCCACCAACAAGTTCATGCGTTCGTGTGTTTGTTCCGCTAACTCAGTGGGGCGGCCTGGTTGGGTATTCACTGGGCTCGCACACTACGAGAGAGAGAGAGAGAAGGAAAGATAAAGAAAGAGAGAGAGAGAGACAGAGTGAGAGAGAGAGAGATATACATTGAACTATACCTGTATTTCGTGACATAGACGTGTATTGAGATAGGCAGAGAGAGAGAGAGAGAAAACAAAAGAAGCACAGAGACATAGACAGAGAAAGAAGGGGAAATACAAAGAGAGAGAGAGAGAGAGAGAGGGCGACAGAGGCAGAGGCAGAGAGAGGGAGAGAGAGAGGGTGAGACAGAGAGCGAGTGTGTGTGTGTGTGTGGTGTGGTGTGGCGTGCGTATGTGTGTAGGCCCCGCTCTGAGCGGGCACGGCTTCCGTCTCCCTCCGCTTGCGCCAGGCTCTCCTCTTTCTCCCCCGTGCACCGCAGCTTAACTCGCAATTGTAACTACATCCTACATTTGCTTTGCTTCTTTGCCAGCGCAATGACTCTGCCTAGCCGCCGACGCAAAAAGTGTGTGTGTGTGTGCGTATGTGCGTGCGTCTGTCCTTCGCTGCGTGGCCGTCTGGCGCCGCTTTCACGGTGGTCCTGCACCGTGTCTTACGTACATTTCGTGTCTTGACTATTTTACTTCGTCGCAAAGATACGTATTCGATGGAATTGTGATTCAATGCTTCGGTCCGTGCTTTGAACGAAGCCGCCTGTACGATGTAAAAGTGTGTGCGTCTGTGTCTGTCAGTGAAGGTTGCATTGGGCATCGCTGTATGCCTTGCCAGTTGAGCACCCCAGAGGCCCGCGGGTGCTAAACATAATAGCTTCCGTTGTTGACGAGGGACGACTAGGGACTAGGGCCTGCCATGTAAGAGTAGACTTGTTCAGCTTGGCCTTTCTTGAATCACAGTCCTGTCCCAATCACAGGGTACGTTTCGATCCGATTCGGTATCCATCATAGCTGGCCCGATTCGATTACGACATTCCGACGGTCCGATGTGGCCCGATGCTTGCGCGGCGTTGTATTGTATCTTGGTGCGGCCGTTCCCAAGCACTGTCTCTTGTGAGCCGATGCCAGGAGATGCGGACCTGCTTCAGCGTGCAGCGGGGCAGCCAGGACGGACGGGCCCCCAGCCTGGATGGGGAGGGCGTGTGTCGGCGCCCCCGTGTGCGTTCCGAGTGTGTTGGAGGCGGGTCCTTGTCGCGTTCTTCACAGGTCTTCGGAGTGGAGGGGCTGAGGTGAGTGGGGCTTACAGGTTTCACCGCATCGCTACCGCATCGTCGGTAGCATCCGCGATGCCAGATTATCTGTAACCCAACCGCAAGTCGACAGTACTTCACCTGGCATGGATTTTGAGGGGTTCCAGTTCATCTGCGTTCGGACGTATTTGGGCCACCGTGGGGCCGGGACCCAGCGAAAACGCAGGAATCAGCAAGCGCAGCCATCATACATAGCCACTAGCTCAACTCATTTGGTTGAAACAACTTTGTTGCATGCCGGGTCGCTCGCGGAATCTTTCAGCTGTTCTTGGGGTCGTTTTGCTTCCCACGTCTCTGGACAAGCTCCTGTGCACTGGGACGAAGTCTGGATGTCCCAGGAGTTGATGGAGGCTCTGCTGTCTCATGCTACTTTTTGGTATGGATGCCCCCGGGCACTGAGATTAAGCGTGTGCCACGTTGGGAGCATCGACGTCTATTCATTCGGTTTGGCTCGTGTAAGCAAGCAGTCCTTGAGTAATTGAACACGGGTGAGGTATCAGGCTGAATTTGGACGAAGAGGACGTGGAAGCATGGCTCTTCCATGGCACAGATGCGGCAGATGATGTGCTTCAGCAGGGCTCCAAAGTCTGTACGGTGATCCTCCAGAGTAACACACATGAGGTTGGAGTGTGTTTCGCTCGCGACCCGCGATTGGCACATCATTTCGTTTGTCAGCACCGTGGCCAGCCGCATACGACATTTCATATGATCCTCGTACAAGTTGTGGTAGGATGGTGCGTCAAAAAGCATTCGATACAATGGAAGGAGTACTGATCGAGCAGAAACATCGTGAGGCTCCACGTGGATATCAATCGGTTACTCGCACGGACGCGCCAGGAAGGGTGACTGTAGTGCTCCCAGGACGCCCAGTGATGACGTTTTGACCAAGGGGAGGTTTACGAAAGGGAGGTCTCTGTCCACCGCCGAACTGTGTGCGGCGCCGAGGCGAGAACGGCATTTGGCCCGCCCGCGCGTCGACAAGGTGGCGTGCGGAGCACGTGCGCCGCGCCCAGGCTGGAACTCAAGTCTCTGCAGCGGGAGCGCGACGCCGAGGCGAGAGCGACATCTCGGCCTTTCGCGCGGTTTGTGCGCCCCGTCCCGTCACCGCCACGCACTTTGCAGCATGAAAGCCATGTCCATCTTGTCGCGGAAAAAAGAGAAGGAGAACGAGAGAGAGGACATATTGTTGTTTCCTAACAAGACGTGAAAGGAAGGATGGGGCCTCATGGATGGGGTCGCTGTCGGCTGGCGGTATGTGTGTGTGTGGTTGAGTGTGAGTATATACAGATGAAGAATCAAGATCTGGTTGGCCAGGTTTGCAAGTCAGCTGACCCCGCCCACTCCGCCATCCTCGTTACAGCCTGGGGCTCACTGGTGGCACGCGTTGGCATTAGGACCATAACGCGTTCCCACCTAGCGAACGGAAGGCGCTTGCGCGCGGTCCCGATCCCACCGAGTTGGCGATGGGAAGAGTACGCGGGCCGCGCACTGGCAGGTCCCAGGCGGCCTGATTCCCGAAGTGCGCGGCGAAAACGAAACATGCGCCGCGCCGAAGCAACACTGCCAATTTCACGCGCAATCTGCGCGGTGCTGCGGCGAGGATTCGCCCGCCCTCGCGCGGCCCCGCTGCCGCTGCCGCTGTCGTGCGATTCGGTTGGCGAAGCACACGCCGTGCCCACGCGGGAACCCCACTTCCACACGAAATCCGCAAAATCTTCGGCGAAGGCGACAGTCGCGTGCGGCCTTGCGCCCAACGATTTGGCGAGTGATGACTATGCTCCGCACCGAGGCGGGAACGCCACAATCAGGCTAAATCTGCGCGGCGCCACGGCGAGAACGACAAGGGAGGCGAGCGAGATAAGTGCGCCCCGCGTAAGCGGGAATTCGCATTTCACTCGAAATGGGCGTGGCACAGAGGCGAGATCGACACTCATGTGCGCCCCGTCCCATTCCGGCCACGCACGTTGCCACGACGACGACAAACGTCCACGTCGAAAGGGACAAGGTAGGCTCCATGTGTTTATTCATCGGCAGTATGGAGTCATTTGGATGCGGCCCCTCGCTAGGTGGCGTTGTATGAGAGTCTACCAAAAACTTTCCAAACCAATTTTCCGAACGCATCTGCAACGAATCCCCCGTGTGGGTTTTGCGGGATATGATCTTGACGAGGATGATGGATGATGGATGATGGATGATGGATGATGGATGGATGGATGGATGGATGGATGGATGGATGGATGGATGGATGGATGATGATGATGCTGATGATGATGATGATGATGATGATGATGATGATGATGATGATGATGATGATCATGATGATGATGCTGATGATGCTGATGATGCTGATGATGGTGATGATGGTGATGGTGATGGTGATGCTGATGATGATGATGATCATGATGATGATGCTGATGCTGATGCTGATGATGTTGATGATGATGATGATGATGATGATGATGATGATGATGATGATGATGATGATGATGATGATGCTGATGGTGGTGATGACGGAGTTGGTAGAGGTGGAGCAGATCTGGCTACGTGCGTAAGAGGGTGGCGCGAGGGAAGTGGCCTTCGAAGAATGTGGCGGACTTCTACGCAGGCGAAGATCTTCTTAGACCCGCTCCTGGCCTTCTGCGAGCCCTCCGCCTTCTTAGACGGCTGCCCCCCCCCCCCCCTCGCGCTACCCTTTTGTGCTGCCCCTTCGCTCAGCCCCCCTCTCGCGCTGCCCTCGCGAGGAGGGAGGGGAAAATAGGGAGGCGGAGGAGGAGGAGGCGGAGGAGGAGGAGCAGGAGGAGGAGGACGAGGAGGAGGAGCACGAAGGAGGACACGACCAGGCAGCGTTGCCTGCCTGAGCGCCTGGCCAGGACGGCGAGGCCGAGGCCGAGGCCACGGATGCCGCGCGCCGGGTGCTGGGCGGCATACTGAAGCGGAACATGGCCGACAATATCATTCCTGTCTTGGTTCCCCCAGGGACGCAGGGTTCGCACCCTCTCGGGGCTCAAGAGACTCAGAGGCGACGATAGGGGCGAATAGCCCAGGGGAGAGCAAAACATGTATTCATGTGCGCCGATGACCTTTGTCTTCGATAAGGCTCCCGGGCGAAAACGTATAATGCCCGCCCCTGGGCTTTTCGCCCCTACCGTCGCCGCCGAGAGACGAAGGTCAATGCAAACGGGAGTCAGCCAGAGCGGTGGATCTTGCAGGATCCTGCGGGGCCAGGGTGGCACTGACCCGGGTTTGAGCGCGGGGTCTGGCAGGATCCTGCATTATTTTGCAGGAACCTGCCAGGCCTGACTGACTCGGGTTTAGATTGACCCGGGTCAGTACGTCCCCGACCCTCGGGCGGAGTGAATCTAGGCCTCCAAGATGGGGTGCATCACTGATGCATCTCCAAGGTAACTCGATATGGAGCCGGATTTTCTCCATGCCGACGGCGCCGATGCATCGCCGACGTCACCGATGCATCGCCGATACATCGCCGATGCATTGGCGATGCTGCGCGGCTTTCCGACCCCATTTGCTCGGACGCCGTCCAGGAGGCTTTCAGCCAAAGCCTTGGCACGCCTGAAATCTGGACGGGGAAGAATGGGACGATGCCCGACAGCAGGTGTTGTCCAATTTCGACAGCGGCCGCCGTTGGGCTGGCGACGTTTGCCTCGAACGACTTACGTCCGAGGCGCCGCCGACAGCGAGCTGTTCCCTCCTTTCTCCTCCCTTCGGCTGCACACAGGCGTGACCCTTCGCCAGAGTGACCTTTGGTGCGCGGCTTTCGTGGGGCGCAGACGGGGGCCAGACCGAATCGCGCAGGCCGCTGCTGCGGTACCGCATGCAGCGATGGGCAAGCCGCGCGCCAGAGGTCGATCTTGCCCGGGTCACGCTTGCAGTCTCGCGTGTAACCGATCCCTCCGCCGACCTGCGTGTGCTGGCTGCGCGCACAGGGGGAGGCGTCCTAAGCAGCACGGAGGGCTTCTGAGAAGGCGGGGGGGCACTACGGCTTCTCCTTCGCTGGCCCGTCGGGCCAGAGGCGTGCTGGGATCTCCGATTGGTGCCCTGTTATCCGTACACTTCGCGCGCGTGTCGGCACCCGGGTGACCTGGCATGGGGAATTCCGGCAGTTCGGGGTCACGTATGCCCGAATTCTTGGGAGTGGCCCCATAAGGAGCTCCACCGAAGGCCCCAGTGGCAGGGTTCGCATGGTGGCCCTGCCCCACTTTGGCACATCCCTCACACGTATCGTATCGTGGCCACATAGAGAGCTCCACATAATGCTTCATTGGTAAGGTTCGCATGGCGGCCCCGCCCCATTTCGGCACACCCTCACACGTTTCGTGGCCCCATGGGGGAGCTCAATCGGAGGCCCCAGTGGCAGGCTTCTCATGGCGGCCCCGCCCATTTCGGCACATTCCTCACGCGTTCCGTGGCCCCAGTTCGCATGGCGGCCCCGCCTCCTTTTCGGCACACCCCTCACACGTTTCGTGGCCCCATAGGGAGCTCCACCGAAGGCCCCAGTGGCAGGGTTCACATGGCGGCCCCGCCTCCTTTTCGGCACACCCCTCAACCGTTTCGTGGCCCCATGGATGACTCCACCGACGGGCCCAGTGGCAGGGTTCGCATGGCAGCCCCGCCTCATGTTGGCACACCCTCCTCACGTTTCGTGGCCTCATAGCGAGCTCCACTGCATGCCTCAGCGGCGGGTTTCGCATGGCAGCCCCGCCTCATTTCGTTTCACTCCCCGCTCGTTCCGTGGCCCCATAGGGAGCTCCACTGCAGGCCTCAGCGGCAGGGTTCGTATGCTTTCTCTGCCTATTTTGACACACCGCTCACAAGTTTAGTGGCCCGTAGGGAGCTCCGCCGAAGGCCCCAGTGGCAGCGCCCGCATGCGTCCCCCAGCCCACTTCGGCACACCCCGCACACGTTTCGGGGTTCCCATCCGCGTTGCCCCGTGGTCCATTCCTCTCGCGGCGCGCTGCCTATGATGAGAAGGTGATATCCTACGTTACTCGCAGCTGCATATGGTGGGGTCCTTCGCCAGGCTTATTTTTATCCTCCCTGGACCCCGAACGTTCTGTTCCCCACCCTGTGACTCTCAGGGGCATAGGGTTAGGCGCCCCCCCCACGTCTCGGTACTTGTCGGCAACGGCGTCGCGCATGAACAAATCACCTTCGGGGCCCACTTCCGGATCGCTCCACTTCCTTGGGCGTCTCATTCTCCACTTGGCTTGGGCGCAATTCCCACTTCGCAATTTGGCTTTGGGGCGCTATCAGTTTGCACTTCCCCAGCACACGCTCCGCTTGTGCATGCCTTCGTGTTCTTGCCCTTTCGCGCCCTGCTGCTTGGTTAGATCGCCCCTCACCCATGACCGCACATTTGGGCTCGAGCGCGTCCACCCTTTCTGCAAATGCAGTTAACGTAACGTATCCCGCTACACTCTTCGCGATCGTGACGCATATCGTCAAACCCTTCACGGTTTGAGTGCGCCGCCCTTTTTTCCTCCTGCCATTCTAGCAGTGCCCACGCTAGGTTGTGTGTGCAAAGTCAGAGCCTTAATTCGTCATCAACCTCGCCTTTTTTTGGTATGACCAACCGGAGAACTCCCTGTCTCTTCTCTCTCCGCTTCTGCTCCTCGGTGCGCCGCTCGCGCTCCCCTCCTCTATCCTTAGCAGCTCCCTGCTCCAATTGTCTGTCATTCGCTTGGCCCTGGAGGTGGCCCTCGAGGCTTTGGCATCGGACCTCCCCTCCTCTCTTCTTTGCCCCCCCCCCCTGTGCTACTGTCCAGACCGTTGCGCCTCCCGCGGTAAATTCGCGAGAGTCCGGCCCCCCCCGCGAAAAATTCGTGAGAGTCCCGCGAAAGCTTCGGAGTAATCCTTCGCGCCGTACACTGTCCTCTGAGGCGCCCCCTGCGCTACCTCGCCACCGTGAAACCCCCCCGGGCGATTCGCTAGGGCTGTTCCCGCGCGAGACGTCCCCGGGCGACTCGCGCGGGAACAGGCGGAGACCCCCCGGGCGACTCCACCGCTCGGACCGACACCCCCCCCGCGCGAGTCGGCCCGTCCTGGAACCTCTCCGGGCGATCCAGGACCCCCCGCACCCGCCCAGGCGAGCGGGGGCGCCTACGGGGAAAGCCCTTGCCCAAGCTCCCTCTTTGAGGGAACTTTGGCGGGGGCGATCCGCGCTGGGGCGGCAATCGAAACCCCCAGGCGATCGACCGAGGCAGATCCCTCCCACGTAAAAAAATACACAAACTAACACAAGACAACACAACACACAACAACACAAACTAACACAAACAGGTACAGGACGGAACATAACAAAACAGAGAAACACAAAAACCACACACAAACACAACACAATGATTAAATTATGGCTCGGACTTTGCACACCATGGACGCGGCGCGCGATCACCAACGCTGCGGCAGAGCAAATGGGTGGGGTGTGGTGGGGGGTAGGGCGGGGGTTGAAGGCAGGTTGCAGTCGCGCTTGTCTGCGCGTGTGTGTGTGTGTGTGTGTGTATGTGTGTGTGTGTGTGTGTGCGTTCGTGTTGGTGTTTTGGGGTTTCCAAAATGTGGGCTCCAGGCCTTTCGGCGCCTTCCTCGCCCGCTCATTTCTCACCTTGAACGAAGGGCGTGGTTGAAACCACACATTCAGATTTCTTTGGTTCTGCTTAGGCGGCGTCCCGCGTCCCACCGCCTGTCGGCAGCGACGCCAAGCACGAACATCATCGTCTGGCCTCGAGCGGAAATTGTATCGAATCGTATTCTCAGCGTTTCTGTGTTATTGCTACCCGCTTCCAATTCCTCGCGTATTGCCTCTCACCATTTTCTGTTTCCTTCTCTTCCCCCGCCTCTTCTCTCCTCCCATCCCATTCCCTCCCCTCACGTGCCGCTCCTCAGCTCCAGTCCCCTCCCCGCCGACCCTGCATTCCAGTACCCTCCGGGCCTACTCCTCCAGGTTCAGCTGAAGGGCCTCATGGAAGCCCAACGCTCCCCGTTCCTGAAGCAAGTGCGCCACTGCCTGACGGAAATCCTCCGTGACTTTAAGGACAGCTTGTCGTGCCAATGTTGTAGAGGGTTTTGATCATTGCGACAATTCGTGCGTGTCTGGGTTAATCTCGGGGGATGAGGGGATGCGACCGGGGGGGAAAGGGGAAGGGGCACCCCCCTCCCACACGGACACTTGGATTGCAGAGAGGGCTTAGGAAACACGTCTAAGTCTCCTGTCGCTCAACGGGCTGATGATATCAACGTAAAGCGTGCAGGTCGAGATTCCAGGCAACACGCCAGGGCCGCCCCACCCACACGTCCGGTGTATACATATTCTGTATGTGAGTATATGCATAAATACAGGTAGGTGAATAGATTGCTGGTGATTTGTTTGACGAACCGTAGGGGGGCTGGGACGCGGGTCGTCCTAGCTGCCCTTCCAGACGACAGGGTTTTTTCTTGGCGGCGTAATTTGCTGGAACCACTCTCTCTTGTGAAGATTGTGTGCTGGAACCCACGCCGCGGGCTGCTGGAACCATAGCTCCTTGTAAATCTTGCGTGCTGTTTGGACCATTTCCCTTCTTGGAATCGAGTGCTGTAGCCCACGCCGTGGGCTGCTGGAACCACTTTGCCTCGTAACAGTTGGGTGCTGGAGCCCACCCGTCTGAATGGCATAATATGCTAAAACGACCTTCCATCGTAAACATTGGGCGCTGGAGGCATTTCCCGTTTAGGGTTTCAAGTATAAGTGAAGTCGGGGGGGCGCGGGGCCCAGGGGTGGCTGTCCTAACATTGTAGTCGCCCCTCGCTTTCAAACAAAGGCAGTGCGTGCGCGTGCTCGCGTGCGCGTTCGTGTGCGCGTGTAAGCTTGGGCGCAAGCCCGAGCTCGATTGCGAACCCGACCCCGAGCCCGAACGCGACCTGGAGGTCGAGCCCGAGCCCGAGCCCCATCCTGAGCGAGTGCGCGTAACGTGCGCACGCGCTTCCGGTATGTTAACATCTGTCAACATTTTCACAACCAACAGAATTCACCAGACTGGCCAGTTAGGTTGACATTTTGCCGGTGATTTTTTCACGGACTGTAGGAGGGTTCGAGGCTGGGACGCGGGTCGTCTTGTCTGCCCTGGGTCCTTGGCGGCCAATTTGTTGGAACCGCCTTCTCTTGTGAATAATGGGTGCTGGAGCCCACGCCACGGGCCGCTGGAATTATCGTCCCTCGTCAGGACTGTGTGCTGGAGCCCGCCCTTCTTGGCGGCATACCCTGGTCGAGCCAACTTTCCTCATGGAAATCGGGTGCTGGAGCTCACGCCGTGGGCTGCTGAAGCCCAAGGGTCTCAAAATCAAAAGGTCGGGGGCGGGGGGCGCGGGGCCCACCGGTGGGCATCCCGGCATTATAGCCACGCTTCGCTTTCAATCAGGGGCAGTGCGTAAGCGTTCGCACGCGCGTGCGCGCGCGTGCGCGCGAGCGTGCGCGTTTTCGCGTTCGTGCGCGCGCGCGTGTGCCTGAGCGTGCGCGCGTGCGCGTTCTTGCGCTCGCGCGCAAGCTCGGGCGCGAGCGCGAACCTGAACGCGAGCCCGACACCGAGCCCGAGCGCGAGCTGGAGACCGAGCCCAAGCCCGAGCCCCATCCTGAGTGAGCGCGTGCGCGGGCGTGCTTGCGCACGCGCTTCTTGTATGTCAACATGCGGTCATCATTTTTACTCCCAACAATATGCACCTGACTGTAATTGGTGCAATCTTGGTGGTACAATCAATGTGGTGCAATCCAGCGGGTGCAACCCATGTGGTGCATTCTATGTCGCGCAAAGCAATGCGCAGCAATGCGAACAATGGGAAGGAATGCATAACAATGCAAATCGATGCAACGTAATGCGATGCAATGCAAAGCGATGCAAAGCAATACATAGCAATGCGATGCAATGCGCTGCAATGCGGCGCAATGCGATGCAAAACAATGTAACGCAATTCCCAGCAAGGCAAAGCAGTACAACGCAATGTAAAGCAATGCGACTGCAATACGAGCAATCCAGCGGCGATCGGCGACGGGTGGCGACGAGCAAACCAGACGGCCACTGGGGCCCAGTTGCCTGCGGCGACGGCGGCGGCGACGCGCGGCGACGGGTGGGAACGATCCGGCCGGACCGCAGCTCAGGCTCAGGTACCTTAGAAACATAGTCAAAAACCCTAAGTCCAGCAGTGCTTGGGAAGGTATGTGTATGCATACATATGTATAAATGTATAGACAGGCGTATGTATATATGAATTAGCAGACATGTATGTAGTATGCATGTATGTATGTATGTTTGTATGCATGTATGTATGTACGTATTTGTTTATATACGTACGTATGTATGTATATATGTATTTATGAATATGTGTTTGATTGTATGTCTATACATGTCTATACTTATGTAGATGTGTGTGCGTGTGTATGCATCTCTATATAGATAGGTAGATGCATATCCATACGTATATGCATATGTATGTGCATGTGTATGTATATATGTGTATATGTCTACGTATATGTATATGTGTGCGCATGCTTATGCATGCGTATCGGCTCATGTGCATGTGAATGCATCTATACACATGCGTGCGTATATGCATATGTATGTATATGTTGACATGTGTACCTGTGTACTTGCATATGTATATGTAATTAAACGTGTTATATATGCATAGGTGTATGTACGTGTATGTTAACATGTGTATTTACATGTGTAGGTGTACGTGAGTGCGCATATATGTTACTGCCTAGTAGCATGGCTTACGACTGTGCATTTGCATATGTATATGTATATGGAGCTGCGTATGCATAAGCGCACACATATATCTGCACAGGCATGTGCATATGCATATGTATGGGTACCATCATATATATATATACATGCATACGTATATGTGCACTGTTATGCACACGTGTATGTTGCCGTTTATACATCCGATACGTAGGCATACGGTCACGTACATGTCTATGTACATGCAATTTCATATTCACACGTGTAAGTCTATGTTCAGGTGTATGCATGCCTACATGTACGTGTATATATGTGTATGTATGTGTGTATACGTGTTTAAGTATGTTTGTGTGCATGTATGCAACCACACACATATGTATGCATAGATGCTCGTATATGTGTGTATATGTGTATGCATATGTGTCTGCACACGTAACCGTATGTGCACGTGTGCGTGATTTCCAGATGCACATGCACATGTACATGTTCAGGTGAACATCTAGATCTGTATATGAACAATGTATGTGTAGACGTACATGTATATGCACATGTATATACCTACACACGTGTGTGTGTGTGACTGGGCCTCTATATAATCAGATAATGGATGTATTATGTTTGTGTTTGGGAGTCGGTTTTCTGCTGGGGCCATGGGAGCCAGGCGGACAGCGACGACGACGACGAGGGCGACGAGGACGAGGGGGAGGAGTAAGACGACGATCAGAGGGTGCAGGGCCAGCACCCCCATCCGTCATATCGGCCCCTAAGCCAAGGGCAAGGGGGGACGGAAGAAACGCACCGGAGAAACGCCAAGACACAATCTTGGGGTCAACTAGGGTCTTCATGGGTCATCTTGGGGCAGTCTCGAAGTCATCTGGGACTCCTGGGATCGTTCTGGGGCCACCTCGGAGTAGAATCGGGGTCACGTGGTAGCCTTGTTCACTCGGGAGATCCTGGGCTCGTCTAGGTGGTCTCGTGTGGCCGCAGGGTTGCTCTGGGGTCATATTGGGGCCATTGCTTAGCAGGGGTGGGCATCTTGGGGCGACAGGGGTAACCTCGTGCTCCTTTTCAAACCGTTGGTGTCTCTTCGTGGCGCTGGACTCTTGGGGTCACTTTTTGGGCCTCTTGGGGGCCTCTTGGTCGCCTCTTGGGGGCCTCTTGGTCGTATGAAGGATGTCGAGTTTGCGCCCCGCTGCAGTTCAGTGGTTTGTCTTAGCTGAGGAGTGGTGTGATCTCGTCCTCCACCCGGTCCGCGCGGTAGGGGGGAAGGTCGAATTCACGTTCCGCGACAGTTCAGCGAGTGGGTTGAATTGAGGTGGGTCGTAATCTCGACCTCATGTTCACCCGCGCGGTATTGAGGAGGAGGGGGAGAAGGAGAAGGAGGAGGAGGAGCAGCAGGAGGAGGAGGAAGCCCTCTTGTTGAAGTCTCCTGGTAGCATCCTGAAGGCCTCTTGGCGGACTCTTGGGGTCTTCCGGGGCCAACTCGGGGGCCTCTTGGGGCTTCTTGGGCGGTCTTAGAGTGCTTATTGGTCTGCATGACGCCTTTGGAGACTGTCTTGGTGGCTTCCCTGGGCCTTCTTGGTGCCCTCTTGAGGCGTCTCAGGGCCGTCTTGGGACCCTCTTGGAAGGTTCTTAAGCGATCTTGGGGTCCTCTTGGGCTGACTCGGGGCCCTCTTTGGGCCCTCATGGGCTGTCTTGGAGTTATATTGGAGGCGTGGAAGATCGTTTGCGGAACGCCTTCATCCAGATCAATGTTATCCATTGGGACTTCCCTCCGCAGCTGATCTGCCAGGCTTGGGCAAAGGTATCGCTCCCGACAGCATCTCAGCGAGCAGCATTTCTAGGCTGGTTGCGGCAGGACGAGTTGATACGCCAGGAAGGACAGCGAAAGAGGAAATCGATACAGGCCTAGTTGCTGGCAACGATTTTCGCGTGCACTCGCGTCCTCATCATGCGCATTGTCATGGAGAAGGCTCGGAAACTGGCAAAGTTGCGTTTACCGCGAGCATTCCCACGACGAGCTCACCTCTACCAGAAACTGTGGGTACCCAGAGCATGTTTTTGTTTTTTCAGTTTGGAACACATGTTACCGACATGGGCATCGATGGCGATACCAGTTCAGGTTCTCAGACATTGGGAGCTCCTGTACACACGCAGACGCAGGTCAATTTAGCCACATTGAGCGTCAGAGGCCTTACGGAGACCAAGGGTGGAACTGACAGTCACTATGACTATAGTTTGCTTTGGTGTTTCCTGCTAGCAGGAATCGGAAAAGACGAAGGCTAAATTATATAGTTCCGACGGGCATTTATTGGTTCTA